TTACAACATTTTGGCCCTGTTACGTGTACTGGATGGATTAAACCAGCTGGCCCCACGGTTACGGGTCCAGTCAGTTATTGATGATTTCTCTGAAGGGGAAAATTTGAGTTTAGATGAGCTCAGTGCTACTGGTGTCAAAATTCCTCCGGAGGAATTTGTCAACAGTAAGCTCACTCCAAAGTTGGCTCGACAGATTCAGGATGCTCTAGCCCTTTGTAGTGGGTCTCTTCCATCGTGGTGTTACCAGTTGACAAGGTCCTGTCCATTTCTTTTTCCATTTGAGGTTCGACGCCAGTACTTCTATTCAACAGCGTTCGGATTATCTAGGGCTTTATATCGGCTTCAGCAACAACAAGGTGCGGATGGTAATGGATCTACCAATGAGAGAGAAGTTAGGGTCGGGAGATTACAGCGCCAGAAAGTCCGTGTCTCTAGAAATCGCATTCTAGATTCTGCTGCGAAAGTAATGGAGATGTACTCCAGCCAAAAAGCTGTTCTTGAGGTTGAATATTTTGGTGAAGTTGGCACTGGTTTGGGTCCAACTCTGGAGTTCTATACCCTTTTAAGTCATGATCTGCAAAAAGTTGGACTGGGAATGTGGAGGACTAGTTCCTCATCAAGTGAACATTCAGTGGAAGTGGGCGTGGATGAAAAATTGAACGGGGAAGATAAAGAACTTGTCCAAGCACCTCTTGGATTATTCCCACGGCCCTGGCCATCGGCTGTTGATACCGCTGATGGAAACCAATTCACCAAGGTAATAGAATATTTCAGATTGCTTGGGCGTGTGATGGCCAAAGCACTTCAAGATGGGCGGCTTTTGGACCTCCCTATGTCAACATCATTCTATAAACTTGTCCTTGGCCAAGTAAGAATTTCTCTCTGGTTTTTGTGTTGCACGTTATACCTTCTAAGATCAAATTGTTGCCACCCACCTTTGTATTTTTTTGTATATCTTTTCAAACGGTTCTGTGCTTAAAACGCTGCACTCTGCAGGAGCTTGATCTGTATGATATTCTCTCTTTTGATGCTGAGTTGGGAAAGACTTTGCAAGAGTTGCAAGCTCTTGTTAGTCGGAAACAATATATAGAATCAATGGGAGGCCTGGGCCAAGACAAAATTAGTGATTTGCATTTTCGTGGGACTCCAGTTGAGGATCTTTGTTTAGATTTCACACTCCCAGGCTATCCTGAATATGTTCTGAAAGCAGGCGATCAGAATGTATGCTGCTTTTCCTTGGAATGCTCATTCGTTTTTTTTTGGATCATTTTGTTTGATTTGTACCTTAAATGGAATTTGCAGGTGGATCTTAGTAACTTGGAGGAATACGTTTCTTTGGTGGTTGATGCCACTGTGAGGACTGGAATTGGGCGGCAGATGGAAGCATTTAGATCTGGCTTCAATCAAGTTAGTTTCCATCATGGGATTTATTGCTTGTTTGGCCAAGCTAAATCAGCTTATTTTGATAAGTGCTTTTTCCAAAAATGCTTTTCGGAAAAGTACTTTTGGAGAAAAATAGTTTCTATTGGCTAATCAATTTTGAAAAGTACTTTTTAGCAATAATTTGTGTTTGGCCAAGCTTTTCAAAAAACACTTTTAAGTATCAAATTACGAATAAGGACATGAAGAGATTTACTTAATAGTTAATATTATAGAAGTAAATAAATAATCACAAGTATTTATTATTAAGGACAATAATGAGGTTTTTATTTTATGTTATTTTAGTAAAATGTGAAAATAAATTACGAATAAGGACATGAAGAGATTTACTTAATAGTTACTAATATTTTATAAGTAAATATATAATCAAAAGTATTTATTATTAAGGACAATAATGAATTTTTTATTTTATTTATTTTAGTAAAATGTGAAAATAAAATTATAAAGTACTTTATTCTTTCTAGATTTTAAATATATTGAAAAATCATTCAACAAATATGAAAGTTCACTCCAAAGGTTATTTTGGTATATACAATATTTTGCTAAGGGTATTTTTTTCCTGCTCCCGCTTATGCCCAAAAGCACTTTTGCTTCCCCAAAAAGCTTGGCCAAACACCTCGAGTAGAGAAAAAAGCACTTTTTTTGAGAAAAAAACACTTTTGGCCCGGGGAGAAGCATGGCCAAACAGGCTATTAGCTAATTAGATACAGGAGTTGATATTTTAGCTGATAATTTGGTGTAACTTTCACTTAATGAACTCATCAGTTACTCGATACATCTTGAGTTGATCACTTATCTGAAGATAGTGAAATAACTTTTTATCTCCACAACTTTCAGGTATTTGACATTTCAGCTTTGCAAACATTCTCTCCTACTGAGTTGGACTACCTGCTTTGTGGCCGTAGAGAGTTATGGAAGGTAACATTCGTTTCTCATGAACCCAGTATAGCACACTGTGATACTTGTGTACTTGAAAGTTTTCTGCCTTTTTCCCAATTTCACTCTTTTGTTTATGCAGGCTGAGACGCTTGTAGATCATATCAAATTTGATCATGGATATACAGCCAAGAGTCCCGCTATTGTTTATGTAAGTTTCCTCAGCTGTCAGCGGAAGTGTAGTACCTGAGACTAATATTACCAAGCTAGTCCTTCTGTCTCTTCGATTGGCTTCAAACTGATATCAACTGTTTAATTTGCTGATCCTCAGTTACTAGAGATCATGGGAGAGTTCACTCCTGAGCAGCAACGAGCGTTCTGTCAGTTTGTCACTGGTGCTCCCCGGCTTCCTCCAGGTGGTCTGGCTGTGCTCAATCCTAAGCTGACAATCGTGAGGAAGGTACAGTTGTAGTTAGCTAAAATATAAGTCCTTTTTATTCTCTCTGCGGTGACTTACCATTGTATTTTTGCAACAGCATTCATCTAGTGCTAGTAATACAGCATCAAATGGTAATATGCCGTCAGAATCTGCAGACGATGACCTACCTAGTGTGATGACATGTGCTAACTACCTGAAACTGCCTCCCTATTCTACTAAGGTATGATTTCTCCCCAATCCATCTGCTCTAGGTTTGCAGAAACTTATCCCCACCCCCACATCTGCTTCGCTGGGGTAGTCATCTGCTTTTGTAGTGCAATTTAAGACTCTCTATCTCTATCTCTTTCTCACTCTCTTGGGAGCGGCAAATAGAACTTCTTATGCCTTACGTCACTCTGCAGGAAATCATGTACAAAAAGTTACTCTATGCTATCAATGAAGGCCAAGGATCTTTTGATTTATCATAAGTCACCTGACAAATGGACTTGTGAATACAACTGTGAAATTGTTGTGTCTGGTCCTCAATAAAGGCGGCTCTGGCCCATCCTCAACTAACAACACCAAGGTCTGTATGCCTCAAGAATCTGCTGTCTCGTTTTTCTTTTTGACTACATTTCCTCTATCTTGATTGCCAGCTTCATTGCTGCAGCACTATTTGCTAAGATTGTAGAACTATTTGTTTCTTTGTTTGTTCAAGGCTTTGAGCCATGTATTTAGTCTGCTGATTTATCTTGCCTTCAAGTATTGCGGTGTCTTCAGATTATTTAACTCTTGACTTTTGTGTTTTGGCTGTTTATTTTGACAGCTGACATTGGGGCCGCGTGATCAGGATGGGAGATTTTTTCTGCGGGGGGTTCTTTGCTGCAAATGCTTGTAAATATGTAGGAAGATTGTTCTTTCAATTTTGATGTTTTAAGGTCGTGCCTTACATACATGTGAGGGCATAATGTGGCCTTTTGTCACTTTGCTTCTCGCAGATATAAGAAATGTTGTTCTTTGACATTTCAGTTATTAGTAATATGTTCCAATAAATTGGCCAGCATAATTGAGGTGCTCTCAAGCCAAGGGCGGCTTTAGGGTGGTAAGGCAGGTGAAGCCCTTGCCTTAGGCCCCCAAATATTTAATGCCCCCAAAATATATAATTTATTTATATAAAATTTTTATTTCTTAAAATTCGGTAGAGGTAGGATTGAGTGAGTTAATACGATAAAATTTTCTCACTAATTAAATAATATATTTAGTTTTCAAAATTCTACTTTTCTTCTCCTTGTGTATAATTTTTTTGCTTGTTTCTAATGATTCTATTTTTTAATTTTAACTCAGTTTCTCTAAATTGGTTATTCCTTTTGGCACAGTGCTGTAGTGAAGTGCTGTTAGTACTAGATACAAAAATCACAATATAAAATTTAGTATTTAAATATTTGAGTTTGGTATGTATTTTTAATGCTGCATATCTTGTTTGGCTATAATCTACTACACCAAATAGTGTATTTTTGTGTATTACTTTGCACTTAATACAACATGCAACAGCAAAACGCAGATTGATTAATACATGGATCAAACACCAAAAGATGAGAGTGTTACTTATCTTGTTTTCAAACTCATCATTAATACCCTTCCAACTTTATTAGGTTCAAAAAAATAAACTAATATTTACGTTTTATCTTAAAAAGAAATAATTTTTGCATTATTAAATTCCTGCCCTGTTAATTCATGTGTTTCAAATTCAATCCATCATTCCATCTCATTCGGGGTACTACAGTGTAGTGAAACTGACACACCAATTAAAATGTAGTGTACGAGGAAAAGAAAATTAAAGGAGGAGAAAAGCAATTAAAGCAGAAAAGACAGAATAGCAGTTTTGATTTCACATACGAAAAGTGCTGTTCCAATAGCAGTTTTCCTTTTTCGTTTTTACGATAGTTTGACTTATGGATTAGCATTACTTTAATTTTGTAGGAGGATTAAAACAATTTTTGATTGACTATCCTTTTTTTTTTTTCCCACTTGTCTTCTTATCTTTACTTTTTCTAATTTGAAGTTTTGGCTCTTGTCAAGAGTCAAAAGATAATGAATCTAAGAAAAAAAATGCTCAAAAATAATCAATTAAAAATTATGTGTTCTCAAGCTGATTTTACCTGTAGTAGAAAATAAAAAAGAGTAACAATTTTGAGGTTTATCTCTAGAACAATGTTGATAGGTGGCATGAGAGTCGATGCAATAAAGAAGAATGAAGAACAAGCATAAGTAATAAGTAGCTACGAGATTGTCTACAAGGATATCATGCCTATTAGTTGGAAAAGAGAAAACAAGTACGGAGTAGATAATTAAGTATACTAGATGCCACGGAAATGGAAGGGTCATTAATAGCCACGAATATAGGGACAACCCAATAACTGAGTAAACAAAACCTATATTTAAAGAGTCATAGAAATTTAAAATAAAATATAGTAATAAACCTCAACCTAAATATGAAGAGCTATTTCATTGTAAATCAAACAGAAAACTTAGACACTTATAACATTTGCATAAATATCCAGAGAACCTATTCCAAACATTGTAAGTTGTAACACCCCAAAGGGAGCAATTAAAGAGAATTCACTCAAATTAAGAATAATTTCAGCTGAATAATTCGATTACTAACTCCAATTCAATAGAGAAAAACAATAAAAATTCACTATCGGACTGTAAAGGAAAAACTAGTAAACTCCAAATCGAATGAAATAAGGCAGGCCGTATAGATTCAACGCACTCCATGATATAACACAACAATTTAGACAACTATTACTCGATAACAATTATAACCCAAATATTAACGAAATGAGAATCCAGACTAATTGATTAACTAGAAACTATAGAGACTTAGGTATCGTAACCAAATCAAATCTACCCTCACTCCCAAACATAAAATAATTCTTTTTTAAAAAAAGAAAACTGTTTTCTGTGAATTCCTCCTCCGTTTTTTGGGTCATCATTCCCTATTGCTGCAAATTTGACAAAGCTTTCAACTTTCTTTGTAAATAACTCTTTTGGTGTTTCGGGTATTTTTTTATAAGAAAAAATATGGAAATGTAGAGTACTGCATATAAATTATTAACGTAGAAAACCGAACGTCCCATCTGTAATAATGTGGAGAGAAAATCAAAACGAAAACCATGTTGATCTCCCACGATACGCTCTATCAGACCCTCAACGAAAATCCCATTTCTCAATTTCCTACGCCAAGTTATTATACGCAATACTTCAACATTTGCAAGTAGCAACAGATGTGTATGCAAGGAACAAAGATCAAATAACGAAAGTAGAGAATTGGACGATCGATAACATTCTATATGAGATACAAAAGTGTTTTAAATGTATCTGAAACCCAAAACATGAAATGGAGTCTTCAAACGTTTGTATTGTTTATGGGTTTGTTGTACTTCTTTTACTCTAATTTTTGTGATTTAAAATTTCTCCGAATATTGAGATGCTTGCAATTATAGTCATATCATGATTATCCACTCTTTCTAATGATGATCTTGGATTAGACGCAATATTTGGTCTCGGTATGTTTATCATGGCTAATATTTACTAACAACTAGCCTTTGAAGTTATTGTAAAAAATTGATTGTTAAGACTCAATTGCTCCCAAACTGCAGGTCTGTTCATGTAATCATTGCTTGTGTGGAAAACAATTATATGAAATTTCAAAAATTTTGTCATATTTCTCTTCCATCAGTAGCTAGCATTTTTTGTTTATTAATTGTAATTTAGGTTGATGTTGACGCATATTTCTCTTTCTTATTCGATGTTCAAGTTGTTATTTCCGAAGCACTATATTTGTTTATATCATTTTTCTTTATTAACATTTATTTGAGATCAGTCGTTTTATTTTTAAATAAACTAAGACAAATCGCAATAACTTATTTCAAATTGAGTATAGAATTATATGAAACTTGAATTTATCCCTTTAAGTAAATGAGCAAGAGTTGTAAACAGTTTGTGCTGTTTTTTCCTTAATTTATGTGAATATTACATCTTGATGTTTAATATTCTTTTATGAAGGTTTGATTTCCTTTGTTTTTTTGGTATTAATCTTTCAATTTATATTATTTGTATTTATTGACGTGGATACACATACAGCATATGTGTCCAGAAACTTGTTAATATAAATTTGAGATGATTCTCACTCTAAGAAGACCATTTAAAATCAATGAATGGAGATATAAGGTCCATTTGAGATAACTCATGGTTTTACCAATATCATAAAATATTACAATCTTTATTTTGTGAGCGAAACAAGGCCATTGCAGAGACACGTGGCGTCATACCAGATCGAAACATTCAGCTGTCGACGGACAAAGCCGGAACGTCGACCGCAAACGAAGGATGGCCAGGCCCCAGTTCCCAGGGTTAGGGTATTCCCTATTATGAGCCTACTCAGATCAGAACTAAACTAGTTGATTCTCTTTGGCCGGCCGGCTTGTTGCAACCTTCGCATTTCCTGCTGAGATCCCAAGTCTCCAAGTGGGCCCTCTTGGCCACCCACGACCTTGGCTTTTTAGAGAATCCCGCTCCTGTGTCGTAGGACTTTCCGCTCGGCAGTCCACCGGGTGGGTTTGTTTCTCCTTCCAGTTTCGAGTGTCTTCTTGGATAGTTATAGCGGCCCATAGGCGCGAGATGTACCTTGTGGGGGGGGCGGCGGTCCCCTGGACATAGTCCTTTCAGGCAGTGGCCGTTTAGTCCATGGTCCATTGGATGGTCGGTGCAAGGCCAGAAATTAAAACACATTGATTCCGCTCGTTCCCGTCCTTCGCTTCAGGGCCTGTTCCTCGGTGTGGTCAGTACTCCATACTGTCGGGCAGCGAAGCTTACACTTGTGAGAACTGCCTTCGGTCCCCCAAACTTACTTATTTGAAACAAGCGCAAATAGCAACGAAATGGATTTACTTTACCATATTTTGTTTTTATGTCTGAACAAATCACTAATTTTTATTTTTCCTCTTTTGAAATAGGGACTACTAAATTTTAATTGGTGTATCAATGTCACTTGCACCTATACTATAACCGTTTTATCTCTGTTAAGTACTCCCACTATAATACAACAAAAAAACTGCTACCCGCTCCCAATACTCGTGGAAAAATCTAGAAAATTACATCCAGAAGTTAACATTCAAAATTTGTACGTTATTTCCTTTTTAATCCATACAAACATGTGCCAATATTATAGGGGTTTTGACACAGTTACCCACAAAAATAAAATTATTTATCTTTATCTACTCATAAACTAATTACATTTCCTATCCATAATAGTTTTTGTGAGAAGTTTTTCTTTATTCTCCCATTCTTTTTTATTTCTATCCTTCTTTTATTTTATTTTTCTTTTCTCCTTTTCTTTTTTCTCGTTTTCTTCTTATTTTTTTTCTTTTTTCCTTTTCTAATTTCATTTAACTTATTTTTTTAATATTTTTTTTTCTGTTCATAATCTAATTTCATTTACTGGTTTCACTATTTTTTATTATTTTTTTCTTTATATTATTACTAAAGAAAAATCAAATTGTGTACAGATTAAATGTAGCTAATACAATAAAAAAATATTAACTAACATACGATACCAGTATAGTATATAGCTATACCAACAGGGTATACAATTGCACGCAAATTAAAAGGGAAAAGACAAGTGAATTTACGGGTAATAAGTATACTATTATAGTATATTGTGTCACACCTTCTTTTTTACACCCCAAGGGGTATATTTAAATCAGAGTTTCCACTTGGAATGGTTTAATTGGTGTTCCAAGTCACCGATTTATTTTAAATCCCAAATCGAGGAAATTCGACTTTCCTTTTGAAGTCTGCGAACCAGAAATTCTGAATAAGGAATTCTATTAATCCGGGAGAAGGTGTTAGGCATTTCCGAGTTCCGTGGTTCTAGCACGGTCGCTTAAACTATTATAATTGGCGTATTATCTAATTTATTACATGTTTTAGCCTATGGTACGTTATTTATTTATAGAGTAGTACGTTATTTCCTTTTTAATCCATACAAACATGTGCTAATAT